AAGTATACAGGTATAGTAGACAAGTATACAGGTATAGTAGATAAGTATACAAGTATACAAGTATAGACCTTGGTTAAAAAATCAAGTCCGAAACCTTGGCAAAAAGTCCAGTGTTATTATCACCTGAAAGCCCCCGTAGGTGGCAAGTAGCCACTCAGTCCGAGTTTCAGAGAACAAAACTAACCGAGCCTTAGGTCTAAAATATGATTTATCATTAGTCATTTAGAAATCATATTAGTTCATAATTGCAGGGACAGAGTTCCAAATAAGGAAACTATACTGAAGGATGAAGAAGAAGATAAGGGATAAAGAGGAATTGAACTTTCATATTTGTGATGATGAGGATATGATTGAAAACAGTCGAGAAATACCTCCGGATATTCAAGAAATTTTAGACAGTGCCTACGAAACCTGAGTCAATATTCTGAGTCAACGAGAGACTATCAAAGATCGTCTAACGGACGAAAGTGATGACGACGGGCCGCCGTTGGAAGGAAAAATTTGAAAATATGCCAACAACATACATCCAGAAACTGCTCTTGCGGAAACTACGCAAAGAGATAAACCAGAAAATCCTCCTACAGAAATTTCAAGTTCGAACATTTCCGGAATTTCGGAATACAGTTCTAGAAAACAGAAACCAAAGCACAAGAAAGAGAAAGTTCCGGAACGTAAACGGCCAACTACTACTACTCATAGTTACTCCCTCCGTTTACCCGCCTTGGTCTTAAATTACAAATTTAGCAATTTGTTGACCTATAAAAGTTGACCCAGTCCACTTAGAATCTCAAAACCAAGCTCAGTTCCCCGAGCAAAGTTTGAGACAAATTGGTCCAGGGGTTTATTAGTCAGACATCAAAACAAACAAACAAACAGTTTAACTTTATATTTATAGATTATTCAAGCAACTATAAACGTGACCCGCCATTAAACAGGGGAATGGAAGATTCAAAACGGGACCAACCAACAGTGGGAAAATATTATAGTGTTTCCATCTCAAAAAGGGCTGAATTTTTTCAATTACATTTTCTGTTGCACAGAAAAAAGTTTAAAGGGTACCATACTAAATCAGGCATGCCCCACCATGTTAATGGGANAGTAAAATTAACTTCAAAGTAAAATATATTTTAGTAAAAGATTTTTTTATGTAGATTGGGATTTTATGTAGATTGGGATTTGATGTTATCAAAGAAAGCCTACTGATCCCTTTTAAAATTTGAAAAATTCAAGCAATGACGTTGCAAAAACAAACTACTCAGAAAATGGCTGAAATTAAATATTTTAAAAACAAGTCTTTGAAGTATTTTTTTTTTAAATGCTCTTCATGACAGCAAAGATCTCTTAAAAAGCTCTATTAGTAACTAATAAAATCAGTTTTTAAGTGAAATGAGTCTGATTACACTGCACAATAGCTGCGGCTCATGTTTATTGGACTATGCAAGTCAAAACTTGAGTCTAAAAGTCTAGTTTTTTTTCTCTGCATCAGACGGTCCACCTCCAGGGGCAAACTGGAGGTTCAGCGAAAAAAAATTTGATTCAACTCCCTGGTGGTGGAAGTTAACCCCCCTAAAAAGAGAAATTAAGAAAATAAAATCAAGTTTTAAAATCAATTTTAACCCTAAAAGATTGGGGAGGGGGGGGGGNAGCTCTATTAATAAATTCGTACCCCCACACCCACCCACCCACAGCCTTTATTGTATTAAATAGTTCTATACCGTTCGATAGTTTCATTTAGCGTAAAACTATGTCGAATATTGGAATGGCCCCAAACGTGAATGAAGAATGGCCCCAAGCGTGGAATTATTTCTCAAAGAGGCCCCTCATTTCCTGCCATGCACTGACACTTAATTACTCCTGTAGATAAATAAATTGTACCTGTGGGAAGGCGTACATAGCCCAAACCCCTTGACCGATTTATTATCCAAAAAACGTCAAACATCTGAACCAAATCGGGACCAAATTTTATTTAAGACCTCACATGACCCTAAGGAAGGTTTATAGAACATCAAAATTGAAAAAAATTCCTAAAAAATCCACCAAAATTGGAAAATGATTTTAAATGGCCGAATTTCAGAGCATCACTTAAAAGCTAAAATTACTTACAGGAAGCCTAGTTTATATAGATTGCCATTAAGGAACAATGCCCTGTGTTCAGGGACGTATACAGAAATTTTTGACGTGACCGGGAGTGCGGGGGCTCAAAAAAATTTCTTTATAGGGGGCGAGTGTGTTTCAGCACCAAATGGGGGGTTAAAAAACTAGATTTCAATAATCCAAGCGGGGACTGAACCCCCTTAGACCTCCTTCTGAATACGCCTCTTCCTGTGTTTCAACTGTCATAAATACTTCATTAGATTCCTAGATACTATCTAAGATACTATTGATAATAGACAAATAGTTAGTAACTAAAAATTTTACGAAGCTTCGCAACTAAATTTTCAGCCAATTTGATCCCGACGCATTTTTAGGTTTCAAATATTTCTACATGCCTATATTTTGATGAACTGTACAGTGTACCCTGTTCCCTGTTCCCTGTTCACTGTTCACTGTTCACAGTTCACTGTTCCCTGTTCCATGTTCCCTGTTCCATGTTCCCTGTTCCCTGTTCCCTGTTCACTGTTCACTGTTCACTGTTCACTGTTCACTGTTCACTGTTCACTGTACACTGTTCACTGTTCATTTATATACTTTCAGAAAAGAAACGTTCACACTCTAAACTGTATGACTAGTAAAAAAATATGTACTTTTTTATTTTAAAACCAACAGAAACCGGCTTTATGGCCACGAGTGCCATGTTCAATTAACAAAGGTTTAAACCTTTGTTTGTAGTAAACACATATTCCATAACGTTCTCGAACGTTTCAATCCAGGTCCAATCCGTCCGCTATCTAACTCAACCAGGACTGAATCCCAGGCTCTAAATGCCAATAAGGACACAAGTTTAGCTATCAATAACTATATCAAACTCAATTAGGACTGAATCCAAGGCTCCAAATGCCACACAAGGACACAAGCGTAGCTATCGAAATACAGCTACCAATACAATGCTATAAATACCNAAAGTGCATCTTTGAAATTATTATTTTTCAACAAAAAACTGTGATCAATATTTACTTATGTTTAATGATGCCAATTACATAGAAGCTCAGTGACCGATACAGGATTATGTATTCACAACTTTCAGGGGTCAATATTAACACAAATGTCTTTTCACGTTAATAATAAACTTTCTTTAAACCATTAAAAAAAAAAGTGAAATTTAAGAATTTTATTTAATTTGTCTCCCCCCTTAGTTAAGCGCATGGCGCCTAATATTGCATGGCAAACTATGCGCCTGGGGCCAGTTTAGTTTTCCCGGCGTCTGATTTTAGTATAAAAGGAGAATCTAGTTCTAGGGATGAGCAAGTTGTTCATTAACTGTGGAACTAGCATGAAGGTAAAAAGCATTTAAATATAATCAAATAGAATAGTTGAAAACAGATGTTTTAAAGAGACTGTAGACGTAATTTCAAGTGGTGTTCCATTTACAGAGTGGCCTTATCCTCAATCTGTGTAACCAATGAGGAAGAAATAATCGTTTTTCAATCTTCAAGCTAGTTTAATTCTGACAATTTCCTCCATTGTCTCTGCAGTATAAATCCGCAAGTAACTTTTGTTGAGTAACCACATTTGAAAATAATCACTCTTTCGAGAGAAAAACAAGGATATCTCATTCATCTTTAAACAGACATAGATTTGAAGAGTATCGTTGTGAATCGGTCATGATACTTTAAATGAAGGATCTCTTAAAATTACGCCTACTGTCCCTTTAAGTATGTTTTTACTAAGCATGCAACTTGTGTCAATTCAATACATACATTGTACAAATATGCACAACTCAAATATTTAAAAGATAATTATTTTTGAAAATCTATCAATTAAATTTGGTAAAATTGTTTAAGATACGATAAAATGGTGGCTACTAAAATTAAAAGTTTAAAGCTAATTATGTTACAAGAGAAGTGCCTGTAAAGCCGATGTGTACAAAAATGGCGTTATCTAAAATTGGGTACATATGTTTCCCCAAGAAAGATAAATCAAGAACCTTCTTATCTTTGTTTACAAAAAAAGTGTACTGCAGGAGTTTCTGGGAGGACATGGGGAGCTGTTTACACTACTCCCAGAAACTGCAGTACTCTGTTTGCTCCCCTACCTAGGCCTAACTTTGCTCCAGGTCAAGTTCGTGCTCCCCTTCCTAACCCTAACTTTGCTCCAGCTCCCCTACCTAACCCCAACTTTGCTCCACCCAGAAACTTTGGACAAGGACCCCAGCAAGGATTTGGCCAACCGCCTCCCCGCAACTTCAATTTAGTCGGGGCTTTATAAAAATAACTTAATTTATTTAATTATTGTAAAATCTTGTTTAAAGGATAAACTCATTGTGAAATTCAAATAAAATCAGTTTAGACAAAAGAAATACATTGCTTTATTCTGTTTCTACCTGTTACTGTCTGTTTTAGTCTGTTTCTGTCTGTTTCTACCGGTTTCTGTCTGTTTCTGTCTGTTTCAGTCTGTTTCTGTCTGTTTCTATCTGTTTCTGTTTGTTTCTACCTGTTTCAGTCTGTTTCTGTCTGTTTCTGTCTGTTTCCGCCTGTTTCTACCTGTTTCTACCTGTTTCTGTCTGTTTCTCCCTGTTTCTACCTGTTTCTATCTGTTTCTGTCTGTTTCTGTCTGTTTCTGTCTGTTTCTGTCTGTTTCTGTCTGTTTCTGTCTGTTTCTATCTGTTTCTGTCTGTTTCTGTCTGTTTCTGTCTGTTTCTGTCTGTTTCTGTCTGTTTCTGTCTGTTTCTGTCCGTTTCTGTCCGTTTCTGTCTGTTTCTACCTGTTTCTGTCTGATTCTGTCTGTTTCTATCTGTTTCTGTTTGGTTCTGACTTTTTCTTCCTTTTTTCTAGCGGTTTTTCTCTGTTTCTTTTTTATTTGCCGTTTTCTGCCTATTTCTGTGACTGTATCTGACTAAATGTGTCTAAATCCGTCCTTATTTTTCCGCTGCTGGCTGTATCTGACTGTATCCTATATCCGTCTGTTTCTTGCCAAATAAATGAGAATTTGTTAAATCTGCATGTATTTACACCTCATTTACAATAAATAGAGTATCAAGTACAATAGGTGGCAACAGAGAAATGGATTGAGTATACACGACGTCACAAGTGTCAAATATAACAAGGAAAACAAAATTTTAGTTGACATGTTTTCCAAGATTATATAAAAAAGTGTAAAAACAGAAAACCAAGAAAACATAAAATTGCATTTATTTTACTGTAAGATGAAGCACTTTATTCTAAAATTAGCACTATTATTGACAATTTTTTTGGACACAAAAACTGAATTGACACTTGTGACGTCAGAATACTGCTGTCTGCGAATGTACATCTTCTACGTTGCCATCTATTGTACTAGAATCTATTTGATTGACAGTATATAATCTATTGAATAAGTACATCAGAAATACAAAAAGAATGGAATCTATCACTCATAACACCGTAGATGCTAAACTGTGCCCTGACCCCCATTGAACAGTAATCAGTAATAATGCCATGATCATTGATCACTTTCTTCAGTACAAGGTCATTGATCACTCCCTTTAGTATATGAGCATAGTTTAATCCCTTTGATACATGATAATAGAACACTCCCTTTAATACATGATAATATATCACTCCCTTTAATACATGATAATATATCACTCCCTTTAATACATGATAATATATCACTCCCTTTAGTATAAATCTAAGTACTCACTGTATTCCAATTTCTCTGAGTCCTCTTCCAAACTTCTCCGCTATATCCCCGAACTCTCTAAACAAACCAGTATTAAAGGGACTGTAAACGGTATTTAGGGGGAAATGTACAGTTTACAATACAATGTATAAATGGTTAGGCTGTAGCCCTGGCTAGTGACTGTTTGGTTATCTATCTATCTATCTATATAATAAAACACGATTCTCACATATATGTTGCGTACAGCCTGCCAAACGGCTGGACCGATTGGGCTGATTTTTTTTGTGGACACTCATGGGTAGCCAGGGGGTGTTAAAGGCTAAAAAAATTAAAAATTAAATTTAAAATTTTTTCTTCCTTAAATTTCAAATTTTTTTCAAATTTTTTTTCCATGTGCAACGCCGGGCCCTTCAGCTAGTAAATTATAAAATTAAAATTGTAATTATTGTGATGCTAGCCGAAATATCTATCTATCTATATTTAACCCTAAAATTAATTATATCTTACCTGAAGGTAATCCATTCATAGCCCCCGAGCACGAACTTGGTGTGCACCTAAAAACATTAATAACTGGTAATGACGCTCACAATTAAAATTCTAGATTCAGTTTTCGTCCAAATCTCCCCCCCCCTCCCTTTATGTATGTTTGTATTCTCGCATGCCCCCTCCCCTAACCTTAGGAACTTAATGTATAATTGAATTTACCCAACCAATTGAATTTACA